TTTGAAGACATGCTGTCAATCGTGCTGGATATGTCCGTTCCCTGATGCAGCTGGTACAGCGTTTCTTCGATGTTAGTAGTAAGAGGCAGTTGCTCATATTGCACATACAAGTCCTGCAGCTGCCGTTACAAATGTGGATATCGCGCTCTCCTGGTCTCATTCCGGCACCGTGGAGCACATGGCGTTTACGCGGCATACTGCCCTGCTTCACAGCCTTTTGCAGATAAGCAGCAGCACGACGTGTAGCCAGGTGTACCGCGTACCCGTGAGAGTGTAGTATGCAGCGATATATAAGATTCCGGATATATAACACTTGTAAAGGTGGTTCGTGGTAAAATGTGGCAGGCATACCGTAAGAGTGGTAAACCACAGTTTATACGCAAAACTTGGCGTTTACCAGAAAGACTGACACTTCCTGGATTGTGGTTTTTGCAAGAAAGCAAAAGTGGTGTGGTAGTGCGGTTCTATCCTTCCTAGATGGAAGTTTGCAAACAACATGTAATTCATTACGGTTAGCCAATGCAGTTACATAATCGATGATGTTCGTTGCAGATGTTTGCAATTTTAGACTTTAGACAGCATTTCCACTCAAACATTATGCATACAGTGACGGCGGCGAGATCAAGCTCTACAAAACGGAGTGCAAAGTCGCAAACATGAGTGAGCACTACAGTACTATGCTATAAATGCAGAACGCTGGAGAAATTTGGCATGTGTTAAGCTGCAGGTAGAAAGTATTTTTGAGCAGCGGTGCCTCCAGGTATGGGTGTACTCGATGCAATTTGAAACATGACGTTCTGTAGTGAAATATTTCATTCCACCCTTCCAATCTGTATAATACGCAGCATTACGCAGCACAGCAACGTGTGCCGGAGCCGAGTCCCAGGACGACAAAAAGGGGTGGGACTGCATTACACAGAGACTGTGACCACCAACGTACATCAATTTAAGCTTGTCTTATGAAATACGGCAACGGCTACGGCAAGGGTCATCATGAAGAGCCGAAAAACGACAGCAAACAAAAAGGGCATCGATTTCTTTGGCCTATAGCCTGCAGCCACACTACCTCTAACTTTGTTCCGGACTGCAGCCATAACAGCTGTTGAGGTTTCTGCGAGGTATGTATCAAACGAAGCGGGGCATGTTGATCAAAAACGTTCTTACCATATGTTGCATATCATCGCTGTTGCTCTTGGCTGGGGTCATTTATGTACGAATGCAGCCTTTATAAGATCCATTTGCCTACAGTATTTGTCCATCAGATTTCGTTTCGGCTGGATAGTAACTGGTAAGTATTTTTAAGTCCAAAGATAAGGATCTTTTAGTCCAAATATTGCCCCTTGGATTGCTCTGGAGGCTGACCGACTCCGGTCATGCATGACACCGATCGGCATACACATCTTAAAGGCTTAGCAGCACCCTTCCAGCTATGTTCTATAGGTGGTCCGGCAATAGTTGGGTCTCAGATGATCCTTTTGACATCGGTGGCCCATGACCCTTTTCCCTTTCTTGAGATCACGTCGGTAATGTATTGCCAAAAGAAACAAAAAAGGCGGTTTTTCGCAGTAATTATACTCCAGAGAGATATTCCGACCAATGGTATTGCTTTCCACAGTCTTAGTTGAAAGAATTGCTCTGCATTCCCTGCAGCCGCCACTAGGACAAAATGTCATGTGCGCATCGTGAATACTGGGCATGCGTAATTGAATCCAATTGTGTATGCTGTCACTTTGATCTACCAAGTATGTCACATTACACAATTTGCTTGTGCTTGCCTTTCATGCGTAGTGAGCGTCACATCGGCGGGCTGTTCGAAGCTTTTATACGCAAACGACGAGCCCACATGGAGGCGGAATAAGTACGCCAGCCTCTGTGCTTACGCCCTGTGATGCCGTGGTCTTCTGCTGCAGCCTACTCTGTCCGTTCCGGCAGTGTCGCGCCGCTGACAGGAGGCGGTGGGCGTCACCCTGCTTCACCGCTAAGAACTCGCGTCCGTGAAGTTAGCGTGACATTTTTGTATTCAAAGTCATTGTCGAGCTCAGATTTCTAAAAGAAGTCTCTCAATGTCAAACTCGGTGAGTTCTCACGAATCTGCGATCTTCTTTTCTCCAAGTCATTTAGTTTGACCTCTTCAGATCAATGAAAGCTCAAAATTTGGTAACCTGCAATTTCTTTATTTAACCAAAGAAGCCCATTAAAATGTGTATCATCCTGATCGTTTTGATGCCCACTTTCGTCACACCTTATGAATGCCCTGTCTCAAGATCAAAGGTCAAGTTCATGTAAATTCGGTTAACACCACATTTCATTGTTCGTGAACAGAGTGCAATAGGCAAGGTGTCATATTACTGTTAGTAATGTCATCTTCGTCACGTCTGCATATACTTCATTTCAAGATCAAAGGTCAAGGTCATCTAAAGCGCGGTACGCTAACATTCTATTTCTTCACCAAATAAATGACAAGATAGGTCCTAAAGTAATGCTTGAAGTATCCGCCTTCGTCACACCTGCAAAACCTAACTCTCAAGGTGAAAGGTCAAGGCCACACAAAACGTAGTCCTTTGGCATGCATTCGTTGACCAGATTAGCGAAATGAAATGGGTGTCATAGTGATGGTTTTGGCGTCCACTTTTGTTGCGCCAAGAACAAAAAAATGGAAATCAGAGGTAAAGTTCATATAAAAGCGGTATCTTATAACTTGTTCAACATCACAAAGTGGGAACCAGGTTGATGTTTCTGATGTCTGTTTTTCTCACACAAGCAAAAACGGAGTCTCACAGTCAAAACTAAAAGTCATCTACAACGCGATACCTTGGAATTAATGTCTTTCACAATCAAAAAGACATGCTATCGTTAATCGGGATGTCTGCATTCATTACACTTGGAAAAACTAACTCCGAGGTTCAAATGAAATAATTAAGGTCAAATGGTGGCGCAATTTGCACTGTCGGAGTTCGCATTATGGCGAGGAAGTTAGTTTGATTCCTTTAATGGAGTTAAGTCATTCTTTGCGATGCGTGAGCCGGAAAGAGCCATCCGATGAGACCTCTAAGCCTCCCCCCCTCCCCCATTCCCACACACACAATTAGCCCTCAGACTAAGGTAATTTCAGATTTGCTGGCGTCCAGAGGTTCTGGAACCCGACCCCAACGGAATGTCCAGCTATAAGCGCACAATTAACGCTCAAATCCCTGTGTTAGCAGGACAAATTAAAAATACCTTTTTATTCACTTTGGTCACTGCTTGGAACGGACATTTGGGTTGCTTGCTCTTAAGTTTTGTGTGTGCAAACTATTCAATATGGAAAAATCAGATTGATAAATTGCAGATGCAACAACACCATGTATTGCTACTTTATACTTTTTGGAATAACTGTGAGGTTATGCGCTTAGTCAAAGCTTGCCGAAAATCAGCTGAATTTCATATGAGGGAAATCAGCGTGGAAAATGCCGCATCCCTGTTGTTTGCATATCAGTGACCTTGGTATCGTCGTGGTCTGCGTGATGAGTTTGGAAATGTTTGTACCACTTTAGTGTCCCACAGCTTTGAGGCGCTCGTTCAATGTAGGCGGAAGCTTGTTGCAGGTATGAATAGAACAAGAATATTTAAACACCTCTCATAACTTGTACTTCTGTTGGCCGTGCCCGCGCCATATACGTCACGCGATCAATATCTTAAAAAGAGGCCTGGGTGTGCGAAGTATGAAGTTAAATTAGGTAGGTACCAGGCACGTCGCGACTAAGACGCTGCATTTCACACTTCACATAAAAGTTTGAAATGTTTCAAACGTTCTGCACAGAAGCAGGTTTTTTGTCTGCTTGTTTGCTGAATTAAGTAACTGTTTGTCTGCCACATTTGTATCTATGTCATTGTGTGGCATGTGTTAGAGAGACAGTGCAAATGCCACCATGCCTAGTTGATTTTGCCTGAAAACATGATTGGGAAACTGATGCATTTGTGGATATGTGTGACATGGTTCTTTGCTCCAGCCATGGTTAAGTGTATAATATTTTTTGAGCTTATAGGCACCTCGTTTGCCAGCTATGGTATGACATGGTGGCTCATGGCATGAATCCTTACAGTAATTGTGGCCATAATTGATGTAATGATTGCAATTTTGCTGTGATTGAACACTTGAGAATACATGAGGGATGTACACACTGTTCTGCAAATGTTTTGTCAACATTTGATGTCCTTTCAAAATAAATGTTAATGGTATACCATCTGCATTTTGTGAAAATTCATGGCTACATGTCTGTGGTGTACATAATACATGTGCTGTAGGGTGACTCAACATGTATTATTTAAAGCTGCCATTGAAGAGTGGTAAAAATTGGATAAGATATAAAGTATGCTTAGTCTAAACAAATTCAGACCACCAGATATACTTATGTGATCTAACTTTTATTGTGCCTTGTTGAAGTGACCCTGTCCATCACACTGGTCCTAAGTACTGCCATATTTGTGGCTAATGTGGCCAATTAGACTAAGTCATCTCTTACAAGCATGCTTATATAAATACAAACTCATGGTTTCTACATGTGTTGGTCCCACATCCTTTCTGCCATGTTATTAAGAGAGATATTTGCCAGTTTATGGGAACCTTACTCTTCAATTGACAAATTTTGGGTTGCATTTGTTACAAAACAACCTTGAGGCATTTTGATTTGGAAATATTTCTGTTTAACTCCAGTTCAAATTTTAGATGTGGGGAGCACTTGGGCAAAATGTTTTGGAGGTGATCACACATCATCATCATTTGAATAACCACCTTAAAGTATTGCTATAGGCTTAGTCTGGGTTGCCTTGTATCTGACCATTTATTGTAAGTGTTGTCAGTTGACCTTGCACCTCTTTGGCAGGCGGACAGCATGTCCACACTGGACTCGAGCGGCTCGTCTGGCTACCAGCACCCAGCGCACGCGCGGCCGGCGCCGCCGCCGGGCCCGCCGTGGTACAGCGCAGCGCCGCCGCCGGCGCCGCCCTCGCCCGTGCCCAGCATGCCCTACTCCGGCCTGGTGCCGCCGGCGCGCGTGCCGCACGTGATCCGGCTGGGGCCGGGCGCGGCGCCGCCGCCGGCCGCGCCACCGCCGCCGCCCGCGCCGCCGCCGCCGCCGCCGGCGAGCAGCAGCCTGAGCCGGGAGACGGCCGCCGCGCAGGAGGCGCTGCTCTGGCCGTACCGCGGCCACTGCGCCTCCTTCCACAACTTCTGCTACTACTTCCTGCAGATCTTCTTTATCGGCGCCGCCATGTCGGGCGTGGCGCTGGTGCTGGCCGACGCGTTTTTCCGCCAGCGCTGGCCGCACGTGCACGGCCTGCTCTTCATCGGCGTGCTGCTGGTGTTCGTCTCGGCGGTGATGCTGTTCGTGTTGTGCCAGCGCGGCGCCGGCGCGCGCGCCGCCGCCGCCGCCGAGCCGGCCGGCAAGGAGGGCGGCTCCCGGCCGCCAGAGGCTATTCCGCTGCGTGACGTGGCGGCCGTATACGTCCAGCCGGGTCAGCTGGCGTCGCTGCGTCGGCCGCCGCCGCCTCCGCCGCCCCCGCCGCCGCCGCCGGCCGCAGCCTACGCGGAGAGCGAGTACAGCCATCCTTGGGACCAGGTCACTGGGGTCAGCAGCAGGTCAGTGGCCCGTCCGTACAGCGCGCCAGCGTCGGAAACTAATGACTGCCCCATAGTGCTGTTACACAGAAAAAAAGCGAACGTTACTCGTCCGTTTTGCTGAAGGTTTGTTGTGCGAGCGTGCGTATGTATGATGTGTGCAGCCTGCAGAGCTGTGCGCTGGTGCATGCTTTTAGACAGTTCTATCAGCTGGCTCTCTATCACAGTCGGCGCGAAAGAAGCCGTTTCGTTTTCGGGCTGACCTGTGAGCTGGTCGATACTGGAGTTAGGGCGTGATATTGTTACTTTTTTCCCTGGGATGGTCCCGACATTTTTCGTGAGTTATGTGTATGCTGCCGCCAGGTGAAAAGTCACCCTCCACAAGAAGCTTTTGTTTGCACTGTATTTCAGTCCTTGCAGAATGAGGGCAGACTCGTCTTACATGAGGAAAATTTGGCCAGTGTATGACAGAATTTTGAGGCGTAGGACAGTCCCCCGCCGCGTCTGCTCCTTTGATGTCACTGCCGTAATCTGCTTCTCCTTTATTTCACCGCTATACTTTGCCCACTCAAGGGCGTGCTGTTGAGTTCAGCTGATGCCCGTGGGCGTGCAGCAGATAACGCTCTGGCAGCTGACAGCTTCTGAAAGCCCAAATAATGAAGCCGCGGCGACTCGGACCGCGTGCTCACTTCTGCGAGACGCGCGGGTAGGGGTCGCGCGCTGGCCTGGTGTGACCGGTTTCTGGTGCCGGCTTCCAATGTATGTGATGAGGCAAGCCGGCGCTGGGGCGAACGGTGCGCCTGCAAGCCCGCGCCGGGGCGAACGGTGCGCCTGCAAGCCCGGCTTTGGTACTGGAGCCACATGCCGTCATGTGGTACCGTGTACCGTTTGTACCGACTGAGTTCGACCGGCTTATTCATGATCGGCCGGGAGGTAGTCACGCCTGTTGCGGGAGGTGACCTGGTCTGACCTGGCCTGACCTGACGTCGGCCTTTACCCGCAGGCCCGACATGAGCGAAGTCTGCTCCATGGGCACGCTGACCAGCCGGGGTCACGTGACCGGCCCACGACACTGGCAATGACGTCACCGGTGACGTCGCCGCTCCAGTCGCACTGCTCAGGTTCCTTTCCGTTGTCGTCGGCGCGCGGCCGTCTGTGTTTAATACGTATGCTTTACGTGCGCGCGCGCGCGAGTGATGTTAGCCCTGTCGTGCCATACCGCCATGCGCCGGCCGGGATGGCGTGTCGTCGCCGCGCACCGTGTCACTGTACAGATCTGTTTGGCACCACTGCGGCTCGCAGCGTGACGTCACTGGGACAGGCCCAGCGGGGCGGTCGCCAGCAACGCTGCGCTGTGGGCTGCGACATAGCGCGGGAGCGAACGTGTTGGTGTCTCGGCGCGCGTCAGATAGGGTCGCGTCGGGCGAAAGCCCCAAACCGATTCTCGGATCAAACTTGCGATTCGGTCTGTGTCACCGTGAAAAATGCCACGGCATTGGGGCCGAAAATCGGAGGAAATGTCTCGGAGGCGTCGGCGCTTGCCAAAGCAGTTGTTTCGCTCGAGATGCTGGTGTTTCAAAACCGGACGTAGCGCTCGCGCGCCGCGCCGTTCCTCTCCTCAGCCGCGGGCCGCCGGCCGGGGCGGCCGGCACCCCCCCCCCCCCGCATCCGCGGGCCAACCCGCCGACGGGCGTCAGAGCTTTACAGGCAGGTGGAGAGCGCGGCGGCGGCCCAGCCGCCCACCAGCGAGCTTCTACAGGATATTTTATGGATATTTTGCGACGCCTCCTCCCCCCCCCCCCCCCCCGCGCGCCGGCCGGCAGGTTTTTGTTGAGCGCTCGCTCGGGACGGTTGTAGCAAAGCGCTAGCTTTGTTCGCTATCGCAGAGCCAGTCCGCTGTTGGGGGTGGTTGCCGCGGTGTGGTTTGGTTGCCCGCCGAGCGTGGTATGTCCTATGTTTATTACCTCTGCGATGTGACGTTGGAAGACATCGCGCGCGCCCGGCCCGGATATCAGATCAGTAATCTCAGTTGATGGGGCCCAAGTTTGCCACACTGTCCGTGTGGGCACGTTACGGCGCCGGGCGGCCGACTCCTGGTGTGCAGAGGGGCGGCAGCCGGGGGTCGGTAGGCCTGAGTCGTCCGTTGGATGTCATGTCCGAGCGGCAGCCCTGGGCGCCTGCCACAAAGACCACGCTACCTTGCCCTGGAGCGCGCCCGCGAGCGTGCTGCCCGCCATGCCGGTGTCTCCATAGGTGTGATCAATCGAGCGGAGTACGTACGAGGGGCCCGCGTGGGCATTGCGGTGTTTTTGTGTTCGGGTTGTAGGCGGTGTGTACCTTGTGGCCGGTGAAGGTGGCAGCCTCCCTCTGGCGTTGCCGTGGAAGGCCATGGCAAGCAACTGGTTAAAAGGAGGGAAGAGGAATGATCTGCTTCACAAATCCAGACGGGTACTGGGATTCAGGATCCTGTTGTGTGCATGAGAACAAGCGCAGAAACTGATTCAACCAGGACGTTTTGGATCTCGTAGTGGGCTTTGCGCCCGTCGTCGGCCACCAAGGTTCGTCTTGTCTTGCCAGTGCACACAGTCCAACGCTTTAATGTGTCTGGGCTTGATCTGTTCCTAATGCTAAGTACGTTTTGTCTCCGCTTCAGGATATGTTGGAGAAGATGAAGTGACTATGTGACATTGATGGTGTGTATTTAAACCCGGAGTGTATATGCAGTAATAAACGGAGTATTTTATCACATCTGTGGTTGGTAGCAGCGTGTGCAGCTAAGTCATTTCGTTTGCGAATATAGTGACTGGATGACACGAATCAGGCTAACAAGCATCGGGGAAAACGGGGGCGAGTGACTCCGAGCCTCTTACCGGTATATCTGGCACAGGTAAGATAGCGTTCACGCAGGTATGGTGTTCGCGGCATACTTGAGCAGCACCAATAAACAGTACGTGCCTTTGAAGCCAGAAGTGGCGTTGACTCCGTGAAGTGAAGATCGTGAAGGCGCGGGACTACATGAAAAAAAAAACATTTGTCGCATACTTCGACGCCGCGAAGGGCCTGATCATTGGCACAAAGGAACTATGTGTCCGATACTACGCTGTTGCAAAAGAGTACTCTAGGTCAAGTCCAGCAGTACACGTTAACGCCAGAGACGTCGGATGTGGAATGATTGTTCAGTGCAATTTTCCTGCGAGTCTTGTGACCACAAGAGGCACGTGTTCATCACGGGTGATGGATCATTCGAAAAATCGCAGCTAAATCTGCTTGCATCACGAAGCATTGATGTGCCTTGACACCGTGTTTCCATTAACCTGCTTCCACAAAATCGTGTATTTTAAAATAAAAAGTAATGAGTATGGAGTGGTTGATAGGCTTCGCCTCTGTTCGGCGTCCTTCGACAAAACATCCGTTTCTTGCGCCGATCACGCGCTAGGATGTCGGCGACTTTGCGTTATTCCCACCCTGAGGTCCGCTTCTGTCCCGCGCTGGTCGACGCCTGCGGCTGAAGCCCCCAACAGCGTCAAGTAGGACCCTGCCTCTCATCGCAACCCTGGTTTATGTGACGGCCACCAAACGTATTCACCTGCTGAGCCTCGTGAAACGGTCACAAGTTTGTGGGATAGGCTCCACTGCGTGAGGAGAACCGACCATAGCAAGGCTATCTAACGTTCTTAGTTGGTAAAGCAAAAGCCAGCTCGAGCAACGCTTCGTCGAACAGAGCAGAGACGGTCGCCAGTGCGAAGACATGTCTCAGGAGGAGACGGCGCGCTCCCGGTCCGCGCTGGATCCGCCCACGTCCGGTGACTCCGGCGCCCTCGGTAACCCGTCCACCGGGCTGGAGCGCTCCTCTTCAGCTAATGGCAACGCCGCGCCGCTGCCAGCGCCTTCCAACGCGCCGACGGTCGCCGCCAACGCCTCGGCGGTCGCCTCCAGCGCGCCGCTGGTCGAATCCGACGCGCCGCTGGTCGAATCCAATGCACCGTTGATTGCCTCCAACACGCCATCGGTCGCCTCCAACGCGTCGTCGGTCACTTCTAACGCGTCGTCGGTTACCTCAAACGAGCCGGTGGTCGCCTCCAACGCGCCGCTGGCCACCTCCAACGCGCCGCTGGTCGCCCCCAACGCGCCGCTGGCCGCCTCCAACGCGTCGTCGGTCACTTCTAACGCGTCGTCGGTCACTTCTAACGCGTCGTCGGTCACTTCTAACGCGTCGTCGGCCTCCTACAACGCGCCGCTGGTCGCCCCCTACGCGCCGCTGGTCACCTCTAACGCGCCGCTGGTCGCCTCCAACGCGCCGCTGGTCGCCCCCAACACGCCACTGGTCTCCTCCAATGCGCCGCTGGTCGCCTCCAATGCGCCGCTCGTCGCCTCCAACGCGCCGCTGGTCGGCCCCAACGCGCCACTGGTCTCCTCCAACGCGCCGCTGGTCGCCTCCAACGCACCGCTGGTCGCCCCCAACGCGCCGTCGGTCGTCTTCAGCGCTCCCGTGGTCGCCTCGGAAGAGCCGTCTCGCACGCCCGGCGCCACGCCGTCGCCGCCGCCTCCTCCGGCAACGCGCCCGCCCGCGCCGGCCGCCAAGTCACGCGTCATACGCTGGCGCTACAACGTCGCCACAGCGAAGGCGCTGGTGGGCTCGCACTCGGCGGCGCTCCTGGCGGCGCTGGCGCTGCTCGGCCTGGTCGCCCACGACCGTTTCATGCTGTTCTGGCAAGAAGGCGTCGCGCGCCAGCGGACGTGGGAGCGGCCGGACGACCACTGGCTCGAGGTGGCGTTATGCTTCGGACCGCGCCTGCCCGCCGGCGCGCTGGGCAGTCTAGCGCCGCACGCCGTCGACGACGCAGCCAGCTACCAGCGCCTGTTCGGCGCGCGCTTCCCGTGGCACCAATCGCCGTACGCGCTTGTGGGGCCGCCCGTGTCGTCGACGGCGGGCGCCATGGAGATGATACGAATGGGCATCGACGGTCAGCAGCCTCGCAACATGGAGATGGCTTTCCTGTTCCGCTACTCGGTCTGCACCAACTTCTCGGTGAAAGCCAGCAGCGGGACGGCACCCGGCGCCGACGCCGTCTTCGAGCTCACTATAGCGCCCGTGGACCGGGAACAGCTGCTGGACGGCGTGGCGGCCAGCTTCGTCGACGTGTTCGCCTACGTGGCCGGCGAGTTCAGCGAGTTTGCACTCGTCTCGGACCTGGTGCCGTTCCGCACGGATCTGAGGGAGCCGCTGGAGCTGCGCCTACAGGCGGAGCGCAAGGAGTGGATGTCGCCCACGCGGCACGGCTGCAGCTGGAGCGGCGACGAGCCGGGCGCGCACGTCAACTGCCTGACGTGGTGCCTGGCACGCAGTCTGCTGCGCGCCGCCGGCTGCACCATGCCCTGGATGGACGCGCTGGTGTTCAACATGACGGCCGTGCGCATGCTGCGACTCGCCAAGGGGCACATTCCGCACATGTTGAACCGCAACGTCGCCTTCCTCACGGCGGAGACGGCCTACCCGTGGATGACGGAGTTCGTCGGCGTGCGGCCGTGCTCTTCGGCCGCCGAGTTTAACGAGTCGTTTCGCGCGCGCGGCAGCCACATACATGCCGGACGCGGCGGCGCTGGACCCGGCCGCGGCGCGCTGCCGCCGGGTCTGCCCGCCAGCCTGCCGCCAGCACCGGATGCGCCTGGTGCCGGCCGGTAGGGCGCTGCACCAGGACGAACGCGGGGCCGCTCCAGCGACATCCTGCTGCGCCTGCTGCTGCCCGCCGGCCTGACAGTGATCCGCGAGAACTGGCTGTACGGCGTCGACCAGGCGGCCGTGGACGCCGGCGGGCTGCTCGCCTTCCTCCTCGGCCTCTCGCTGCTCGGTCTGCACGACCGCTGCTTCGCGGCCGTGGACTGGCTGCTGTGCACGGCCGGACTGGTGCAGGCCGGCGCACCGCGCGCCCCGGCGGGCCCCAACCTGGGCCGAGCGGCGCGGCCGCGCCGGCGACGGCCGAAGCGCGGCGCGAGCGACGGCCGCACCGGCGCCGTGACCGCCCCGTCCGGCTGAAAGTGCGGCGCGACACAAGGTGACGGCCGCCAGCATCGTGCGTGTGCGCATTCGGGGTGGTCGGAAAGGTGCCACAGCAACGTGGCCCAGTCCGCTTCGGACGTGCCCATGTTGATGTTCGTGTGCATGCCGTATGGATTGTGTAGCGTGTGATGGCGTCGGTGTCTCGGACGGAGCGGTGCTGGGTTGAGGGCGTGATGGTGCGAGCGATGCTGTACACACATCCAATGTTCATCACAGCTGAGTTACCTCACTGAAACAATATGCGTGGTTTGAGCTCGCCTGTGCACTTATTACGTCCGGAAATGACGTGGACCACCACGGCTCCATCTGAATCCGCTGCTGGCAGCTATATCCAGCACATATCAACAGGTTCCAACGACGCGATCGCCGAGCCATGGGAGTGACGCTAACCACCAGCTCCGCCAGCCTCGAGTGCGGCTTCACCAGTGTCCAAGCCACCAGCTCCGCCAGCCTCGAGTACGGCTTCACCAGTGCCCAAGCCACCAGCTCCGCCAGCCTCGAGTGCGGCTTCACCAGTGCCCAAGCCACCAGCTCCGCCAGCCTCGAATGCGGCTTCACCAGTGTCCAAGCCACCAGCTCCGCCAGCCTAGAGTGCGGCTTCACCAGTGTCCAAGCCACCAGCTCCGCCAGCCTCGAGTGCGGCTTCACCAGTGCCCAAGTTAAGCACGCCCGTCCACCAGTGCGGCCCGGGACGCTGCCTCGCTCCCCGCCCCGCCCCCTCCCCCCCTCCCCAGCCTCCCTATCGCCAACCTGCGGCCTCGAGAAGACCACAAGGCACACACGGCCGGCCGCGCCACTCGCTGGCGCCAGTGCGGACCGCGTACGCACCAGACGCCGCAGAAAAAACATGGCTGACTGTATTTCGTCACTGCCGCGGCAAAATACATATGGGCGCCGCCGAACACGCATACCAGCCACTGCCACCCGAGCGCCACACGGCACACACGAGCGCCACGGGGGCGCCTCAGCACGGCCGGCGCCGGGCCGCTGATGACGTGCCCGCCGGCCGACACGTGCAGGGTATGATTGGGCCGCTGTGGCCGACACGAGTATGAACGAAGTGCTGCCGCTGTCCCTGACGCCCCGGAGCGGGGCCGGCGCCACACCGGGCACGAAAGCGTCTCCACGAATACTGAGGGTGCGCCAGCGACGGCCGCGGGCCGCGCCTCCCCGCAGGGTCGGCTCTCCCCCCCCCCCTCCCTCCCCTCCCCCCAGCGAATCATCCCACCCTCCATGGGTGCCCCCTCCCCTCCCCTCCCTGGAGTCATCACCTCCCCGCGGCGTGTGGTCCGCCAGTCCGCAGCTGTGGGCCCCGGCTCGCTACCGCGAGAGCCGCTGGCGACGCGTCGCCAGCCGGCTCCAGTCCGAGCGTAGCTGACGACCCGCTCCTCCCAACAGGCTGATATAACAGGGCGACGCGAGGTAGCGCTCCCGGTACCAGAGGCGCCCGCCGCGTCGACACGCCAAAAACCTGACCATGCTTCACGTTGGCCACACAGGAAGTCGTGCCGTACGCGCACTCGTGAACAGCCCACGCCACGCTGACGACGAGTGGGCGGCATCGCCGCTGTACGGGACGGGCGTCCAGCACCAGCGTCGTCCTGGAGGTACGCGGCAGCGCTGAGTCCGCGTCCAGCACCACCGCCGTCCTGGAGATACGCGGCAGCGCTGGGTCCGTGTCCAGCACCAGCGCCGTCTTGGAGTCCGCGTCCAGCACCAGCGCCGTCCTGGAGATACGCGGCAGCGCTGGGCCCGCGTCCAACACCAACGCCGTCTTGGAGTCCGCGTCCAGCGCCAGCGCCGTACTGGAGCCCCCGGCAGCGCTGGGCCCGCGCGCGGCTACTGCTCGGCGCTGGTCTCCGCCTCCAGTCCCTCGGCCATCACTGCCGACAGGCGGGCGGGGTCAGCGCGGCCAACGGCGGCGGCCGCTGTGGGTGCCGGCTCGACAGGGCCCGACGTCGAGCGCGCCAACGACAGCCGATTCGAGACGACCGGGACTGCGCCCGCCGCTGCCCAGGGGCCGTGCGGCGCTTCAGTTTGTCCATCATACCCAAACACCAGTCTCCCCAAAGCTCGCTTATCACCACAGACACAGACAGGGCAGTTCAGCACCTCGCTCCCCCTCCCCTAAGCAGAACAATGCAAGCAACATAGCGACTGCAGCGCTGCACACAAAGAATGACTTTGAAAAGCCTGACCCTCCCCCTCCCCTCCCCCCCTGTTAACAGCCTGGCGCGGCCTCTGGACAGAGGCCCGCTGGTTCGTCTACCGCCGTTGGGCGGGCGGCGTCAGTCCGCTCAGGTGGTGACCCCGCGGGTCAGGGCCGGAGCGGCGACCCGACCAGGCAGATCAGCTGCTGCCCGCGCTTCCCCGGCGACCTGGTGACCTCGTCAGCTCCGGTGAGGTCATTAGACCCGGCTCGCCGCCGCGGGGCCGCCCTGGGCTATCACAACACGACGCCATGGCGCTGCCAGCTGCTGTGACTGCGACGCATGAGATTGCAAGCCGCTATGATTGCGACGCATGGGATTGCCAGCCGCTGTGACTGCGACGCATGGGATTGCTAGCCGCTGTGATCGCGACGCATGGGATTACCAGTCGTTGTGATTGCGGTGGGGGCGGTGTGGCAGACTTCCGCCGCTCGGGCGCCACGGAGACGGATATTTAGGTCTCGCTCACGTGCCTTCTGATCCACCGCGCGTTGCCCCGCCCCGCGCTCAAAATCGGCCAATCAGCACCGAGCCCGATAGCCCCCCCAGGCAACGCAAATCGGGTGGTCAGGTCAGGTAAAAACCAATGGGACAGGCAGGTCAGACTGCAAGAGTTCGCGGTCAAAGGGCAATGCATTAGTAGCAGGGGAAGTGTGGGGGCGCGCAAACGGCAGGTCCCCCGAGGAGACGGAGGTCCGATGGCATGAATTCGCAGCGACTTCCCAGCACCCAACTGGACGGATGTCGCCGCACGCCATGCTCCAACAGTAACAGCGCTACAACCACACAGACCCAAGCGCCGTGCCAGGGAGACAAAGCGGCATGACCTGACGGCAACGGCACCGCCACCCACAGCACCACTATCACGCCCCGGTGGTGGCATCACCACGGTCATCAGTGACAGCGCCACGGCCCGGCGGACCACGGCCACGGCGCTGCAGCCCGCGGCCACTGGCCGACGCGCGCCGGCGACCGGGCGGCGGGCGGCGGCCGATGACGCTGACCTGGGTCATCCAGCATGTCCAGGTCGCCGAGGTCGGCGATGACGGCCGTGCCGTCCGCCAGCACGATCCGCACGCGGCCCGAGCTGTCCACGCCCTCCACCGACTCGGCTGCCGAGGTCACGAGAGGTCAGCGGGGGTCACGACAGGTCAGCATGGGTCATGAACAGCCATCGGGGTAATAAGAGGTCAGCGCGGGTCACAGGAGGGTCACCAGACCAGATGGGTTTGGTGACCCATTGGGTGACCCGATAGATGGGTCACCAGAGGTCAGCGGGTCAGGAGAGGTCAGCGGGGGTCACTGGGGAACGACAGGTCGGTAGGGGGCAGGAAGTCAGCACAGGCCAACGGACGTCAATAGAGGTCACTGGAGATCATCAGAGGTCAATAGGTCACCAGCAGAGGTCACTGTCAGCGGCATGCCCACCCGGCTTACTGTGCGCGGTCCAAATCAGGCCACGTGATCAGCTCGATCGTTTTCAGCAGAAATGGGCGGGAGGGGGACGGGGAGGGGGTGGCGCCCTCGGACCTCCCACCACGAGGGCAGCACAGCACGGTAATGCAAAAGCGACAGGCAGGCACCGCGACTCCCGGGGCTATGCAACTTCACATATGCCTCACTTGTGTAACAAAGAAGACGATGCGATGAATAGGGAGAATGCAACACGGCATGCCATAAAATTCGCCGGGGGCCACAAAAACGTCAATAGTCAAGTGCACTTCCTGCCCTGTTTTCTTCCACCACACAGGATGCGCGTGTGAAACTCGGCGGTCAATGAGAGCGGCAGTCGGAATTGCGCGAACTTACCAAAGGCAATACAACTTGCCTTGCATTAGCATTATTTTCATTACTCATTAGGCAGCATCACTGCTTAGCGTGGCTGCGGGATGATACAGTCATGCAACAACACGAAGCACGGCCGTTCGCAACGTGAGCAAGGTATCGCTACAAATCCAGACTCACCAGGGACCTCCGTCGCCGATGCCACACTGCCATCATCGGCGCTCGACGTGAACTCGTCCCTCTCCGGGCGGCCGTTAGATGGCGGTGACTGCGCATCGCCACCGCCTTTGGTCGTGACCTGCGACCGAATCCACACAATCACCGCACCCGCAAAACAGTTGCATGCCGCTGGCCGCGCCACGCGGCGCGCAGCTGCCATTACGGTGGCCACAACGGCTGCGGAGCATCGGCTGACGCGCGACTCCCGCCAGCCACCGCTGAACACCGCTGTCTGACATCGATCCCTGCAGTGCGTGAACGGGCCCGAACCTAGCGCCTCGATGGCGCACGACTCCCGCCAGCCGCCGCTGGACATCGCTGTCTGACATCGATCCCTGCACAGGGCGTGAACGGGCCCGAACCTAGCGCCTCGACAACAGCGATCACAACACGACTCCCTGCGGGTGCGGATCCCAGCCGTACCGTCTTTCCTTCCGCGTGACGAAGCTGGGCGGCAGCAGCCCGCTGCCAGACATCCGTTCCCATGTTATTCTCTAACTCACAAAGCTGGGGACGTTGCCAGCGCCACGCCCTGGTGCCGGTAGGACAACAGCCCTAGCCCCATGACAACGCCACCCACCTATCTCGATACAGAGGCAACTATCCGCATCGGTTAACCACAGCTTGTGCTTCCGCGCTCGTCGCTCAGCCCCGCGAGCCCCGCCCCTCCCCCACCGGCGCGGGCCGTGCCGATCCCCGTACCTGCTGAGCGGCCGCTTGTTTGCTCTCGCTCTCGCAGATATGCGCCAGCAGATCCAGGTCAGTGCGCTGCGGCGGCGGCGGCGGCTCCTGCTCCGGCGGCGGCTCCCGCTCCGGCGGCGGCTCCCGCTCCGGCGGCGGCTCTCGCTCGGTGGGCGGATCAGACTCCTTCTTTGACTCCGCCTTCAGTTCCGGCGCTGGCTCTTGCTCCGGCGCAGTCTTTCTTTCTGGCACCAGCTCTGGTTCCGGCGCAGACTCTTTTTGCGGCACCACCTCTGGTTCCGGAGCAGACTCCATCTCCGGCACCGGCTCTTGCTCTGGCGCAGACTCCATTTCCGGCACCGGCTCTGGCTCCGGCGCAGACACCATCTCCGGCACCGGCTCTGGCTCCGGCGCAGACACCATCTCCGGCACCGGCTCTGGCTTCGGCGCAGACTCCATCTCCGGCACTGGCTCTGGCTTCGACGCAGACTCCATCTCCGGCGCCGGCTCTTGGTCTGGCGCAGACTCCATCTCCGGCACTGGCTCTGGCTCCGGCGCAGACTCCATCTCCGGCATCGGCTCTGGCTCCGGCGTCGGCCCCACCTCCGGCACCGGGTCTGGTTGCGATGCTGCTTTCGAGTCGGGCGAACGCTTCGGCTCCTGTTCTGAGTCTGAGTCTGAGTTTGAATCTGAGTCTGAGTCTGAGTCTGAACTGGAGGCCTGGCGGGCGAGAGAGAGAGTAAGCTACATGTCGTGGCAGCCCTTCTGGGCCGACCCGACCCGGGTGGCACGCCCGCGCAACAGACGGTCGGCTGCCCCACACATCGCCGACCAGACGGCCGGCTACCTCACACAGCGCCGACCACGACGCGGGTTCAGCCGGGCCATACACTTGACAGCAGATGTCACGTGAGATGTGGTCATGTTTGGGCAGCCGGGCGATAAAGCGGACCTCGGCAGGGCTCTGTATGGAGCTCTCAACCACGGGCCCTCAAAAACGGCGGAGACTCAAACAGCGTACCCTCTCCACTACATCCTAGCGTATCCTCTCCACTATAGTGTCCCATCAGCCTCGCCGGCCGAACACAAGCCATGGTCTCCCGCGGTCACGGCGTGGTGACAGCCGCGAAACGAACCAAGGGGGGAGGCAATACGCAAATAGCCATCACACCTGGCCACAGCCAGTATGCGGTGTATTTTCAGTATCTCGGTGCTCACTCGGCTGCGGACTGAAGTGCATCAGATGCCTCCCGGCTGGACTGGTCTCGCCCGTCGCTCGCTCCCTGACTACAGCGGACACCTGCACCGAGCCCAGCTCGAATGTCGGCGGGGTCCCACACCTCCCCGAATATCAGCGGTGTCTCACACACCTCCGAGCGTCAGTGGTGCCCCACACCTCCGAGTGTCAGTGGTGCCCCACACCTGCCCGATTGTCAGCGAGGCGGACTGTGACACAGAGCTGCGCGCAGACCTGAGCGGAGCTCTATGGCCCAGCGGTGCGCGCTTCCCACCGCCGGGCGGGCCGCTCCCCATCCCCTCCCTACCAGGCGGCGGCGCTCCCACCTGCAGGTCGTCCTCTAGCGACACGAAGCGCGGCAGGGCGCGGTCGGCCGGCGTGTCCGGGTCGAAGATGGAGGGCGGCCCGGCGGCGGCGGCGGCGGCCGACTCCGTCTGCTCCAGCATCAGCCGCTCCAGGATAGTCAGCTCCTGCCGGCCCTGACCGGTCCGTCGCCCTGCAACCGGTCGCGGCCGTCAGGCTGGGTCAGGCGCCGCCCCGGTCACGGCTGTCAGAACGAGCCAGGCGCCGCCCCGGTCACGGCCGTCAGGCTGGGTCAGGCGCCGCCCCGGTCACGGCCGTCAGGCTGGGTCAGGCGCCGCCCCGGTCACGGCTGCCAGGCTGGGTCAGGCGCCGCCCCGGTCACGGCCGTCAGGCTGGGTCAGGCGCCGCCCCGGTCACGGCCGTCAGGCTGGGTCCGGCGCCGCCCCCGGTCACGGCCGTCAGGCTGGGTCAGGCGCCGCCCCGGTCACGGCCGTCAGGCTGGGTCAGGCGCCGCCCGGTCACGGCTGCCAGGCTGGGTCAGGCGCCGCCCCGGTCACGGCCGTCAGGCTGGGTCAGGCGCCGCCCCGGTCACGGCCGTCAGGCTGGGTCCGGCGCCGCCCCGGTCACGGCCGTCAGGCTGGGTCAGGCGCCGCCCCCGGTCACGGCCGTCAGGCTGGGTCAGGCGCCGCCCCGGTCACGGCTGCCAGGCTGGGTCAGGCGCCGCCCCGGTCACGGCCGTCAGGCTGGGTCAGGCGCCGCCCCGGTCACGGCCGTCAGGCTGGGTCAGGCGCCGCCCCGGTCACGGCCGTCAGGCTGGGTCAGGCGCCGCCCCGGTCACGGCCGTCAGGCTGGGTCAGGCGCCGCCCCGGTCACGGCTGCCAGGCTGGGTCAGGCGCCGCCCCGGTCACGGCCGTCAGGCTGGGTCAGGCGCCGCCCCGGTCACGGCCGTCAGGCTGGGTCAGGCGCCGCCCCGGTCACGGCCGTCAGGCTGGGTCAGGCGCCGCCCCGGTCGCGGCCGTCAGGCTGGGTCAGGCGCCGCCCCGGTCACGGCCGTCAGGCTGGGTCCGGCGCCGCCCCCGCTCACGCCACCGAAGTCGGAGAGCGCGCCCGGACGGGGCAACAACTGCTGCGTTTGCACAGGGGAATGGCCAGGCTCCTGGCTGGATGTTCGACTAGAAAATTACTAGATGTCTGTTTAAATGATGGCTAGATGTCTAACCACACGTCTGACTACATAGCTGATTTGATGTCAGGGTCACGTCCAGTCCATGGCCGATTATCACAAAACGCATTTCGAGTCTCATCACAGAGTAAAATACAGGTTACAAACCAACGAGACCAGGCACGCTTTGGTTGCGTGCCCCCCACCCATTCCTCTGCCCACCCCATCCACGGGCGCTGCCCGAAGCACGGCGGGTGGCGAGCGTACCCACAATGGAACATCCACATACATGCAGTGGGCCCGCAACTAAAGGCACTAAGGCAATTCATCTCACAAGGCATTTACTGTACTACTTGCCCTTGCCAAATGAAACGCACGCACACGCGCGCGCACACGCACACGCGCGCGCGCGCGCACGCACACACACCAAGAGAGGGGTGCTGAGCAGCCCTTGCGTCGCTCCTCCGTCCGTCCAGCTGGCCGTTGGTGGCCGCCCGCTCGCGGCCCGGCTGGTCCGGTCGGCCGGCGCCGCTCGGCTCGGCGGGGCGGCGCCGCTCGGTCGGCGTCGGCGCCGGCGCCGGCAAGAACGGCGGCAGCCGGCGCACATACTTGACGGCGCAGTGCACGCGCAGCGGCTGCAGCAGGTCGCGCGCGTCCGCCAGGCCCGCCCGCTTGCTGCCGGCCAGAGGAGAACACGGCTCAGTGGCGCCGCCACGCGCCTACAGCCGGCCCTGTGAGGGCGCTCAGAGGCCCCGTCGTCGGCATGCAAACAAAAACGCCTCCTCAAAAGCGGTGATCATCGCGCAGTGAATCCTAGCGGGACTCAGAATCAGTGAAGAAATGCTGGAATGATGTTACAGGGGTTTACATATAGTAGCGAACCCACAAGTAGCGAACAGGTTTGCGTAGCAGGACCCGTCCCATGCGTTGCTGCAAAGGATCGGAGGTTCCCATCAGCAGCACTCATGTCTGCTCAGCCAAACCAGATCTGAGCCACACCAGATCGCTCAGCCACACCAGATCGCTGAACCACACCAGATCGCTCAGCCACACCAGATCGCTCAGCCACACCAGATCGCTTAGCCAAACCAGATCGCTGAACCACACCGGATCGCTCAGCCACACCAGATCCTGAACCTCAGTAGCCTGGCGTGACCTTGAGATCGAACGGGTTGGGTTCCGCTGCCATCGCGGACAGTCCCGCTGACTGCACCTTCCACTCACCGACCGGTGCCCCGTAATACCGACCACCCCCGGCATCGACAACACGGACGTCACACCGGTCGGCAGGCGACTGATCAACACGCCGCGCCTTCCCCAGCAAAGTCGGCCCGGCCCGGTCAGCCCCGGCCGGCGCCTCTCCGGCCACTGGCGTCGCCCGGGCTCGCGCCGCGGCCCGCGCCAGCTCCACTGACCGCGTGGTCTTGGCCAGCTCGCGCAGGCTGCCGTCCTTCTCGCGGATCTTGGGCACCACGTTGACCTTGACGGTGCCCCAGCGCGTGTCGAGGTCGAGCGTGCGCGTCTGCTGCGCGCCCTCGAACGTCTGCACCACCGGCGGCAGCACCATGATCACCGGCTTGCCTGCCGAGCCGGGCACGGACGCCGCCGGTCAGCTGTCTGAACACGGGCGTCCGGGCGGCGGCTGGACACGCGCCCGCGGCTGGGCACCACTCCGGACGCTGGCACATCATATAGCTTACGTGCATCACTTAGGTCACGTGCACAGTCTTGGTCACGGGCAACATCCAAAACAAAAACACCACCTAGGTCAAGGGCATCATCTAGGTGAACGGCATCACCTAGGCCAAGGACATCACCCAGGTCAAGGGGATCACCTAGGTCAAGGGCATCATATAGGTCAAGGGGATAACCTAGGTCAGGGGCATCACCTAGGTCAAGGGCATCGCCTAGGCAAAGGGCATCACCTAGGTCAGGGGCATCACCTAGGTCAAGGGTATCACCTAAGTCAGGGGCATCGCCTAGGTAAAGGGCATCACCTATGTCAAGAGTATCACATCGGCGCCGGCTGGGCTGGCGTGCGGCTGCTGATCGCCTGGACTGACTGGCACACTTGACTGGGCTGGAGCATCGCGCCGAACATTTGGGCAGCGCCTGACCATTCTCAGCCGGGCGAACGGAGAACCGAAACAGGGACACTCGTGACGATCTCCGATCATCCATCAGCCACGTCAGCCGGCTGAGAACGGTCTCAGAACATAGCCCTGGCCGAATTCAGCCGGTAATGTTGGAGCCAGTGCTGGCACTGTTGACGCCCCGCCGAAGCACAAGACGTGCCGATGCGGCGCCACTGGGGCGCCCAGCCCGCCGAAATCAACATCTGGCTGAACACGGTGAGGACCGCGCGACCCCGCACCGTGTCCGAGACAGCCGACTAACGGCAGCGGCTGCGGTGATGAGTACGCCGCGACCAGACCACCCACCGTTCTCCTTCTGGTACTCTCCCTCGTCCGAGCCGTCCTCCTCCTCTTCCTCCTCCTCTTCGTCCTCCTCCTCATCCTCGTGTTCTCCCTCGGTGGGATCGCGCTCCGACTCCTGAGGACAGCGCGCGGGTGTCCGGCTCTAGTGCGGCCAGTCAGCCGCATTGCAGACAGGGACAGGCTGGGGGGAGAGGGCAGGACGACCTCGGACGGGCCCTGGTCCGTACACTGGAGAACCTTGACCCGCCAGTCACGGCCGCAGCCACGCCTCACTAATTAACACGACACGCTGCTGTCCGCCGGGAGCCGATAACGGAGATGTGCGGTGTCGCCGAGAAATGTCACCACCATAAGCCGGTCTCACACACAGCTGAGGGTCTGACTGCCGCCAGGCGCAAGCTATCGGGCCTGTGCAAAGCAAGCCGCCTACCTACGTAATTGCCAACTGTCAGGAGTATCATTAAGCCAACAGTCGCTCACAAAACCCTCCCAGCGCCGGGGCTACAGCAGTGAGGGGCTCTTCCGGGGCGCGCCGGACGCTGAACCCCGAGCCGAGCTCGCTCCGCCTCCCTGCCAAGGCGGCCCCACCGCTCCGCCCGCCCGCTGTCCTCACCTCCGCGGGGCGCGGCTCGGCCGGCGGCGCCTCCACCAGCAGAGGCTTCTGCGGCCGCGGCCGCGGCGCTGTCTGGCCGGCCGGCCGCGTTGGCTTGCGCTTCTTCAGCACCGAGAAACAGTCGCCCGCGCGGCGCCGCCTCCGCTTCCGCGGCGGCCGCAGCGCGGCGGTCTGAGCCGGCGGCGGCGGCGGCGGCGGCTGAGCGATGCTGCGGCCGTCCGGCAGCCGCTGCAGCTGCACCACGGCGCGCACCCTCTCACTGAGGCTGGACGAGCGCCGCGCCGCCGACTCCGGCTCCGGCGGCTCCTCCGCCGCCGCCGCCGCCGGCTCCGGAGCGCCCGCGGGCGGTGACACCGCAGCGGCGGCGGCGGCGGCGGCGGCGGCGGCCCGCTCCGCCTCGGCCTGACGCCGCGCCTGCCTCCTCCGCTCACGCTCTGCCTGCCAGCGCTCCCGCCGCTCCTCCCTGCGCCACAGGCTGGCGAGCGCGGCGCGCGCCGCCGCCAACTGCGCCTCCACGCGCGCCGCGTCCACACGCGGCGTGTAACGAACCAGCGCGCAGCCGGCGCGACAGCCAGGCGCGTGCGCCGCCGCCACCAGCGCGCCGGCCGCGAAGCCGGTGAACTCCGGGTCGTCGGTGTCCGAGGGCGGCATGTCGGCCCGCGGCGCGCGGCCGGCCCGCCGCTGCATGGCGTCTGTCATGAGCACCACGTGACCGCCGATGGTGGCAGGACGCGGCCGCTTGGCGGCCGGCGACGGCGACGGCGAATGTCGCTTGGTGGTCGTCGGCGGCGCCGGTAGCGGTGGCGGGGAAGGTGGGGAAGGTGGGGAAGGCGGTGACGATGGCGGCGACGGCGGAGCCGGGGCAGCGACCGGCCAGCCGAGCGTCGGCACCGGAGACGCTGTCGGAGGGGCGGCGTCAGCAGGAAGCGGTCGAAGCGATGGCGCACGCGGGCAGCTCAAGCGCGTCTGGCCATGGCGAGACGTGCTGTGGCGTCCGAACTAGAACCAGGCATGCGGCGAAAGTGCCCCCAAAGAGCCTTCCCGACACCATACGCCCTATGTTCTAAGCCTAAAATAGGCTGGAATGCGTGAAGCTATCATAGCTAAATACCGGCCTTTATACCGGCCTTTTACCGCTTTGGGACGGAAAACCGGCTGTCGAGCCTGAGCTGAGAACCCGTCATAAGGGCGTACACAGTCCGGCAGTGAAACGCCCGGAGTCACGCTACCGCAGCCACGCCCCCGTCCTCTTCACTGCCTCCGGACCAGCGGGGCAGCGGAGGACAGGCCGCAGCCATCCCCCCCGTCCTCACCACTACCTCTAGACCAGCGGGGCAGCGGAGGACAGGCCGCAGCCGTGCCCCCGTCCTCTCCACTACCTCCGGACCAGCGGGGCAGCGGAGGACAGGCCGCAGCCGTGCCCCCGTCCTCTCCACTACCTCCGGACCAGCGGGGCAGCGGAGGACAGGCCGCCCCGGGCCAGAGACCGGCCGGCGCCGGTCGTCGGCTCACCTTTAGCGGGGCTGACGATCAGGTTGGGCTTACGGTGGAGCGGCGGCGCGGCGGGCGGCACCGGCCTGCGGGGGCGGGGATCACGGTCGTCAGCACGCGGCGCCGGCCACCTCGACGCCGGCCCCACCAGCAGCGGCCGGCCGACACACAGCCCGGCGGGCGCCTCAAGCCGTGACTCCACAGTCCAGGCTCAGAGTGTAGTGCCCGGTCAGAGTGCAGAGCCGGAGCCCACGCCAGCGGCCCGCTTGGAGACAGATTCAACAGGCCCACGACGCAGCCCGCTGTCCGCTCCTCTCCGCCTTGCCACTCCACAGAGTCAGGATAGGCCCAACATGGCATCGCGGCGAACGCGACGCGCCCACCGCTCCCAATGACCCGGCCGCGGTCTTTGCCGCAGGAAAGCAACTGCCCTCTCCCCGTCCGATGGCAGTCACCAACAAGCCGGCAGCAGGCGTCCACAACGGTCCCGACCGGCGGCGCTGGCCCGTGGTCTGTCCAGCACACGTGGCCGTCGACCGGTGGGGGCTGGAGCCGCCGTTCTCACCTGAGGCCGGGCGCGGCGGTCGGCGCTGCCGTCCCGTCTCCTGCCGGAGCGGAGGTCGGTCTTTATCTAGCTCGGGCGCGCCGCCCTCCTAGCCGCACCACCCGACACTCAGCTGCACGCACACGGCGCCCGCCACACTCCACAGTCGAAGGCGGTGGCGGCAGAGCCACGGGCGAGGCCAGGCCAGGCCGGCCGACCTCGCTCCCGCACAGCTGCGGCTGTGCCACTGACCATCGGTCGAGTGTGCCCCGCTGAGGGATACCGACACAGACACAGACACGGAAGCAGGCAGGGACACGGACAGAGTGACAGGAACATGGACGCCGACAGTGGAAGGGACAAGGGACACAGGCACGGACAAGGACAGCATGGACAGGGCAGACACGAACACGGGCACGGGCAAGGACACGGACACAGGCATGGACCCGGGCAGATGAGACAAACACAGGCTCAGAAAGGGACACCACGGATAGCGGCGGGGACAAGAACAGTGAGATGGACATAGACTGGGACTTGGACTACGGCGTAAAGACACAGACGGTGCGGAAAAGAGTGGACTGGGACGCGACCCCCTCCCCCCCTCTCCTCCCCCCTATACGGCCGCCACAGCTGGACACCCACCGGAGCAGCGCTTCAGTTTTGGCGGCCGCCCTCTCTTGGCCGGCGGTCGGGGGCTGGCGGCCGGCACAGCGCGGGGTGGCCCGGCCGGCGGCGCGGCACGGACGGCAGGCGGCGACCTGGTGACACCGCCCGTCAGGTCAGGCCACTTAAGGTCCACTCCGAATGATCAGGTCAGGGTAGGTCACGTCTATCAGATCAGATCAGGTCGGGTCAGTCAGCAACAACGGCCCGTGAAGCCCTATCCCCAATCCTCGGACGCGCCATGACCCGGGAGACAGAGCAGTGACGCACACCACACGTCCTTCTCAAGTCACAGTCTACCGCCGGCCACTCCGCACAACGGCCAGCGGGAGCGATGACATCACCCCGCACAACGGCCAGCCGGACTGATGACGTCACCCCGCACAACGGCCAGTGGGGCTGATGACGTCACCCCGTACAACGGCCAGCGGGACTGAGGACGCAGGGCAGCAGCACCAGCACGAGATTCCGGCTAGAGCGGAGCGACGCTGTCGACCGAGTCCCGCCAGGCCGCCACTGACTAACGGGCATCGGTCGAACCGCGCACTGGCGCCGGCCGCCGGCGCGGTTCGAACAGCTGTCGTCCTTCCTCCCCTCAAACTTACCACGGCAGCACTGGAGAAGACTGGGACAGCTCTGCGTGGGGAATGGGTACATGTCACTGCCTTTTGGCCCACCAAGGCCTGCTATTCGATTACCATGACCGGAATGACGCAAACAAATCACTTGACTTGTACCGATCGCTAATGGTTTTAAATGGACGGAAAACCTCCTGTAATATCAGCCTGTTTCAGATGGCCAATAAGGCGATGCATTCTGACCAATCCGAAACGTCGTAATGGTCAAACGCCTTAGCTGCTGTCAAAAACTTTCGATGGACTCACATGGACACAATACCACAGCACATCCTTACCTATCAGAAGCATAGCCACAAAAAAAAAATGTTTATCCCAACGACGACAAACAATCGGAAACAAGATAAGCACACGGCTCGTTAATGCTGACGCCACAACAAAACCAGGAAACGACGCGATCGCGGCTAGCCCCAGCGGCGCGCCACCGGCCGTGACCTCATCAGTGACGTCACTGACCTGACTTGACCTTGGCCGGTGCGCGCCTCTTCTGTGCGGTGGCGGGCGAGCCGGCCGGCCGGCTGCCGTCCCCCTTCGCGTCGGCGGCGACCCTGCGTGCAGCGCGGGCGTCAGTGGGCGGCGCGCCGGGGGCCGACCAACAGCTGACGGCCAGGCCAGGGTTCGCGGCCGAGCTGGCGTTGTCCGACGCCTCTTCAGGGAACACGACGGGGCGCCGGACAGCACGATACAGACCCGGAGCCGCAGCAGCGTCCTGGCCCCACGCTAAGGGTCTTGTGGTTGCTGTATATGTGTCTGTGTATGCGTGGTTATTGTGGCCACAAACAGGAGCCTCAGCCTCCCCTCCACCTCCCCACCGCTTTGCTGAGTGCCCCTTCAGCCGTTCTCAGTTGACCGTGTCCATCCGTGACGTCCTCCGGAAGGGACGGTCCCTGCCCGAGAGCAGTCCTCCAGGTCGTCCACTGCTGTCGTCAGTACTCCCCATCCTTACCCAATCATGTAGTTCTCCTGGGCCAACCCAACCTCCCCCCTCCTAAGAATGCTCCTCAGCACTCCCCAATTCTGCTACCCTCTGGAACGTCGCCCCAGCAATGCCGCCTCCTCTCTGCTCAGCAGTGTCCCGCCTCCTCCCCTGCAGCCAGCCCCTCTCCGTCGCCTCGGTCCCGCCTCCTCTGCAGCCAGCCCCTCCCCGTCGCCTTGGTCCCGCCTCCTCCTCTGCAGCCAGCCCCTCCCCGTCGCCTCGGTCCCGCCTCCTCCTCTGCAGCCGCTCCTCCCCGTCGCCTCGGTCCCGCCTCCTCCTCTGCAGCCAGCCCCTCCCCGTCGGCCCGGTCCCGCCTCCTCCTCTGCAGCCGCTCCTTCCCGTCGGCCCGGTCCCGCCTCCTCCTCTGCAGCCGCTCCTCCCCGTCGGCCCGGTCCCGCCTCCTCCTCTAAAGCCGCTCCTCCCCGTCGGCCCGGTCCCGCCTCCTCCTCTGCAGCCAGCCCCTCCCCGTCGCCCCGGTCCGCCTCACCTGCCGTGTCCGTTGCTGCCGTCGCCGGCGCCGCCCAGCAGCCGGTCGCAGAGTGCCGGGTCGGAGCCGGCCGCCAGCTGACGCCGCTGCGGCTCGGTCAGCGCCGCCCAGCGCCGCTCGAACCGCGCCAGCATCGGCCCGCAGTCCAGGTTCGCACGCGGCTCCCACGTGTTGTCGCCGCTGCCGCACGTGCGCCGCCCGTCACATGGCGTCAGACATGTGGCCAAAGCCACACCGAGCCGGACACGTGGCGCACGGTAACAGGACACGCACGCGGCGGCAGGAGGGGGGGGGGGGGGGGTCAGTGGCAATGAATTGGTGTCCCAGGACGAGTCAAAAGCCATGATCACTTCCCATCCACTGGCCGGAGGCGGCGAGCCAGCCAAGACAGTGCAGCACCGCAACAGACGCACTACCGGAGAACTACAAAACAATCAACAATTCCACGGGATAGCACCGAGTCTACAGCACGTAAAAGCAGAGATATCGACGCACCGTACCGACCTAACGCCCGGCCGCGCTCTCACCAACATATCAACGCCGTCCCGCACCCATCCCCGTCGCTGACGCTCCATGGTCAAGCTCCAGCTCCAGCTCTAGCTCCAGCCCCAGCTCCAGCCCCAGCTCCATCCCCACTCACTGTCCGAAGCCGCACCACTTGATGAGGAACTCGTCGCCGCCTGCGACGCGGCGCCGCGCCATGATGCGGTCCACCTCGTACAGCACCTCCTGGTCGTCGTCGGCGGCGGCGGCGGCCGACGGAGGCGCGGCGCTGGCGTCGCCTGCCGGCGGGCGCACGCGTCAGAGCCAGCCGTGCTCTGCCGGGCCGGCGACAGGCACGCGCCGCGAGACCGGCGGTCGCGGCACGGGCGGCGCGTCCCGGCCAGATGGGGGCGGGGGGGGGGGGGGGTCGCGTCGGGTTTAGCGCCGGGCGCGTGACGGATCTGTGCACGTGGGGACTGAGCGTGCCGCCCAGGCTCAACAGACAATCGGTCGGAAGAGCGCGTTCGGGAGGACGCTTCGAGTAAGTGGCGGCCAGAGACAGCGCCCGACCATACGCTATGAAGGAGGAAGACGGCTGAGCACGGCGAACTCCCAGACTGCAGCGGGCCGGAAACATTCCTAAGTGAACACCAAAAAATACTCCTGTAGCCATGAGCAGAGCCGGAGGCGTGGAGCACTCGCGTAGCATATCTCATAGATCGCTTTATCCTTGTCTAGCCAGAACTTCCTAGCATACCGCGAGTCCGGTACTTTCAGCTCATTCTGCCACCTGGTGGTACGACGTGTGGTTTGCGGGCACCGGTCCATGCGTGCATCGAAAGACATCCGCGGCTGGCGGCAGGGACAGCACCGAGCGGTTTGGATTCTAACCCAGTGCGTCTTGGCAGGGACAGCACCGAGTGGTTTGGATTCTAACTCAGTGCGACTTGGCAGGGACAGCACCGAGTGGTTTGGATTCTAACCCAGCGCGTCGAACTTCCCCGCCAAGAACAGGTACTTTCACAGTGCCAGTGGGTACCATGGCACTGAATGACACGCCGAAAATTGCATTCGCTATTCGACAAATGGGCAAGGAGAAACCATGGGACAGGTTACAGCGCGTAGGTGATGGGGCCTCGAGTCACGCCACTGGCGGGAACTCTGCGAGCGACTCTCCCCCAGGCGGCGCCCGACCAATGATCCGCAGGTCTTCCAGAACCCGCCGCAGCCACGGCCCAAGCCAGCACACTGCATCCTCATCATCCTCATCATTAGCATCGGCATCATCGTAATCATCACCATCGTCTTAATCACCGTCCACATCATTACCAGCATCATCATCATCATATCACCGTTATCACCATCATCACCGTTTTATCTCTTTGGCAAACGGCACGAATCAGTCACGTAATCATGTGGAATGTCAGCTAATGCCAAATACAACCCACACGATCACCACCGTCCTCGTCCTCGCCTCGTCACCATCGCCCCCGTCGCCGTCACGGCGTCGGCGCTTACCGGCGGCGGGTCGGGCGGGCGCCGGCAGCCGCCTCCACCTGTTGACGCGCTGCTGAAGCACGCCCCTGGCGACGGCGAGGAACTCGTCGGTGGGCTGGCCGGGCAGGCGGCTGATGCGGCCCTGCAGACGGGCCCACTGCCGCTCGAACCAGCCCACCCACTGCTGCCACGACTCGCGCTCCAGCACCACCCGCTCGGCCCTGCGGAGGGGGGCGGCGTCGGCCGCGGCGTCAGCGTCGCACACCGCCCGGCTCGTCTCTGTACAGGGCAGTGGGGCAGCGCTGGGGAGCTGGCGTCACGGCGGCCGGCGGGAGGGGTCACATGGAGAGACCGGCGCGGGGAAGGCAGGGTGGTGGAGTGGTCAGATGGAGGGGTCAGGTGGAGTGGTCAGATGGAGTGGTCAGGTGGAAAGGTCAGGTGGAGTGGTCAGGTGGAGTGGCCAGGTAGAGGGGTCAGGTGGAGGGGTCGGGTGGAGTGGTCAGGTGGAGTGGTCAGGTGGAAAGGTCAGGTGGAGTGGTCAGGTGGAGTGGTCAGGTGGAGGGGTCAGGTGGAGTGGTCAGGTGGAGTGGTCAGGTGGAGTGGTCAGGTGGAGTGGCCAGGTAGAGCAGTCAGGTAGAGCAGTTGGGTGGAGTGGTCAGAAGTGGTCACGTGGAGTGCTCAGGAGAAGTGGCCAGATGGAGGGGCCAGAGTCAGGTGGAATGATCAGGTGGAGGGGTCAGAGGATTTCAGGAATAGGGTGGGCTCTGGTGGTGCTGTATACACTCAAGTGCGGACATAGCGACATAACACTGCGCGCCTATGGTAATGATTGAGGTATCAGGGCTCATCGACCACTAACGTCACTTTGACGCCTACGTGACGCCACTGCGGTCAGTGCCCCACAGCTCACCAAGTCGCCAACGCAGCACAAAACAGCTGTTTTTTCTCAAACAACTGTAGTACACAACTGCACCCACACACAACATACAGCAAGGCTGCCGGTAACCCAGCGCCGCTCCTGTGGCCGGTCTGCGGCCTCCCTGCCAGCCCTCCCGCTCCCTGCCGGTCCTCCCGCTCCTTGCCGGTCCTCCCGCTCCCTGCCGGTCCTCCCGCTCCCCGTCGGTCCCCCCGCTCCCTATCGGTCCTCCCGCTCCCGGCCAGTCCTTCCGCTCCCTGCCAGCCCTCCCGCTCCCTGCCGGTCCTCCCGCTCCTTGCCGGTCCTCCCGCTCCCTGCCGGTCCTCCCGCTCCCTGTCGGTCCTCCCGCTCCCTGTCGGTCCTCCCGCTCCCTATCGGTCCTCCCGCTCCCTGCCGGTCCTCCCGCTCCCTATCGGTCCTCCCGCTCCCTGCCGGTCCTCCCGCTCCCGGCCGGTCCTTCCGCTCCCTGCCGGTCCTCCCGCTCCCTGCCGGTGCTCCCGCTCCCTGCCGGTCCTCCCGCTCCCAGCCGGTCCTTCCGCTCCTTGCCGGTGCTCCCGCTCCCGGCCGGTCCTCCCGCTCCCTGCCGGCTCACCCGCTCCCTGGCGCCTCCCCAGCGGCAGACCGCCCCGACCGACCTCTTCTTGCCGATGTGCGGCAAGAACCAGCGCATGAGCACGCGCACAGAGTCGCGGTTCAGCTCCCAGCCTAGCTCGATCAGCTGAACGAGGCCGCTGGCAAACACGCACTCCTCGGGCGGCGTCAGCAGGCGGCGCGTGGCGCGCAGCCACTCCGCCTGCGACGCCAGCAGCTCCCTGAAGGTCAGGTCAGAGGTCAGGTCAGGTCAGGCCAGGTGGACACCGTCGACATGATGGGGCATCAGTGCTCTGCACTATCACACACGAACATCAGACCAGGCACGTGTGGAGCGAGTTTCACCAGCCAGCATCAATAACACGGCGGAGAAATAAAATCTGATGTTAATCATGCTGAGACCCACAACCACGTCTGCCACTTTACATCATAACCACATAATGCTACACTATGCTTACACCCTAACATTCTCCCAGGCCATCATGAACAGATAATGTCAATGTGGAAGCTAGCAGTGATCTTACTTGGCCGAGACTTTGCAGACCGCGGCAGCTTTGTCCACAGGCTGACCACTCTTCACCATGCTCAGGGCACGCATCATGGATGACATGCCTGACAGCCCCCTGAGGAAAGCACAGTGTGTGAGCTAACATTATGGCACCACTGAATGGCTTCAAAGCTTATTGACGCCATTTTTCCCTGCCAGGAAATGGTGCCAGCAGCGTGAGGCATTGCTAAGGCTTTGACATTACCGGCTTAATTTGCCTAATTTGGCAGCCAAAAAGTCAACTTGTCAGAAAGGATGTTGCATTCATATTTAAAAACACCTTAACTAACTCAAACAGTCTAAAGACAGCTACTTGACATGTTGCAATATGAGTGAAAGAGGTTCCAGTAGTATAACATGCGACTGGGGTTTCAAAGGCCACATGCTATTGTTATGATGCTACTTTCAAGCTTTTTAAGAAGGTTTACCTCAGCACAATGGCCAAGTGCCACCCTACGTTATTATTCTGTCTGGATCCATGCAGCAAAATCTGGCATCTGTGGCTAGAAACAATGCTGTCATGTGCTGTGCTCCATGCTTATAGCCCAGATAAGCATTAACTGTATAATTTGCAGTAACATAGCTTTAATTCATTCTAAAAACCGTACATAATTATTTACAAACTTTGAAGTTGCCACATCATCATTTCCATGTGCATCAGGCATGCAACATGTCTACCATACAAAATTGGCATCCTGGATGACTCATGCAAGCAGGCAACCAGTGCCTCCTGTCAGCTTTAGTACAAGCAGCTTTGGCTTTCCATATGTGGCATTATCACTGGGTTATCTAGCATTATCTTGTGACACACTCAGCACCTGAGGCTATGCAGTGTTGTCTGCCTCTCACTCCAATGGCAAAGCAAGAAAGGGAGTTGGCCCACACTGCTGGTGTTCTTGAAGTGTGGCAAGTATACCACACTACTGACATCCCCACTTGCAATTTATATACTTCATAACTGTGAGCTCCATGAAGGTGCCACAATTTATGCATATAGACAGCCAATTTTTCAATGACTTTTTGCAGAGGTAATTTCAGACAAAATGCTCTAAAAATAGTTCATGTTAGAAAAATCAAAGATTCTGAGCAAATTTATCTGTGTCAGAGTTCAGAGCACAAAAACTTTAGACTCAGCACACCAATGTTGTAAATGCTTTGGCACAATAGATCATTTCTTTGCTGAGCTTGAAGCAGAGCCTCTGTTGGGCTGAATCCCAAGGAGACCAACAAAAGAAAATTCCAAGGCACTGATACTGCTGGGTTGAGGGGCCCCCTGATAGGCATAATCCTGGGAAAATGGATTTAAATTCCAGGTAATGATTATTTGGGCTTTAAAATGTGCCAACTGCTCTGGACATATCTCATGTATCATGTCAAAAATGAGAGCCCAGATGGCGGGCCACACTCATCAGCTTGACCTCATTTGATAATGGAAGGTCTCCAATCAGAGGCACCTTATTCAAGCTTGCAAGCTAGTAAGATGTACATGGGGAGCAGTGTACATGGCAAACAGCACTGTGTTTATCAATCTGCTGCCTGTGCCACTAGAATAATGTTATATAGAATATCTTGAAAACTAAGGAAACACAGATAAAACAGAAAATATATGATCCTTAAATCTTCTTCAAAATAATCACATGTTTGGGTTCAGGGAATTTGGTTTCATGCCATTCAATCTACACCTTGAAATAAGTGCTACTGGTAAACACAGAATTTAGCCTTATGCAGGTTCTTCTCCCATCATCACATTTGCACCTTGGGAATGAGACACAATATTTAAATTATGCACAAGACACTGATATGCATCAAGAAACATGTACAAATCACCAGCCACAAATAATCATAGGTGGTGGATTATGACAGGGAAAATTCCTTAAATGTACAACTGCTTAGGCTACAATAATTTTGCACCCATCCCCAGCAGCCTTATGTCAAGGTCAATCAGAAAAATGATTTATTTAGACAATCTGATTAGATTTTGAGGCAACAAACACAGGTGTCGCAACGTCACAGCCAGAACACTAACACCCATTCTGAGTAAATCGTAGCACTGAAACAACAAAAAGCCAGTAAAATATTCGTACGTAGGTAATACCTGCTGTCCGCAGGCGACCCCTCCGCGCCCCACGCAAGCTATAGACTCATCGACTGCGGACCACCGCTTGAATTATTCTCATCACGCTGCAATTCGGGTGTGCGCCGTATTCGTAACAAAATAAGGTCCACACAATAAACCCGCGGATGACATTAAACTGCTGCTAAATAGGTGAGAGAGAAAATGCAGTTCAGTTTCGCAATGTGAAAATAAGTGAAGGCGTCCCAAGCGCGTCACAATTCAAAGGCAATAGAACTCTCTAAAAATATGCTTAACTTGCATTGCACTAAGCCACGTACCTTACTACTGGACCAGTAATTCCCCGATTTGACGCCAAAGACTCATTGTTTCCATTTAAAAAGCTTGGTGGCATCCCATTTGCGATGCGTCCTTGGCAGACGTTTAAGATTATTCAAAACTGCTATGCCTCTATTTCGTCCTGGACTTTACGGCAGCGTAAAGGTGGGGGCATGGGAATATATCCTTAACTAAAGTGAAATTTTATCTCCAAATCCGTTTTTTCTTATTCCATAGCCGTCTCACTTATTCGCCGTTTTTCATAATGCGGACTGATCGGGAAGGGAAAGGGGTGGTGGTGCGACCCTCTGTCGTTTCCAACCTAATGAAGATAGAGCTCAGCGAAAAATATCAGTGGATTAGTCTTCACGAGATCTCGCGATTGGTGCTAGCTTTCAATGCTGTTAGGCCAATAAGTCACCCCAGTATTGCAGGTCAACTTTGAATTTTCCAGACAATTGCCCTTTTCAGCTCTATCATATTATGCATCGGGTACTATACCTCGTGGTGACACAAAACCCAACAAGGCGTGTTCCTTGTTAAATCTTGAGCACAATGGTATGTGTTATGTTTAAACACCTTTATATGTGGCTCATGTTCAATGTCGGCCTGCCGCGCGCGTTTCGCAGTATTGCCGGTTGCCATCCGCAGCGCGCACCGGCGGTGGATCGCCATGCAGTATTCCCCAAACCGCCGCCGCTCCGAAGCCACAAAAGTTATGGGCACGTTTTTGGTGCCAAAGCACAAGCAATGAACGTCGCATAGGGTACTGACAATTACGGTGCAATTGCATAACATGCCAAAGTATCCTAATGGAGGACTAATCTTCCCCTTCCCTCCCCCCTAAGCTAGCTCTGAGGATCATGTGCATGACGTAGGTAAAAGCCGACCAAAACCAAACAAAATCCCGAATAGGTAATGCTCTTGCTTTATTTTGCTGTAAATTTTGTTACGCTTTTTAAACTCAGCGATTGCAGAATGCGAGTCCAGGGCTCGAAGTCCGACCGGACCGACGTCATCAGTGGCATTCCTAAAAAGCATCAGTGCTGAGACCAGCGCTGCTCATCGCCTTCGTCAAAAGACGCGCTCGGGTGAGGGTCAATTTGACTCCTGAAGGTTTTTCCAGAATAATTCCAGAACGGCGTGGCGTAGCCGCGCCGAACCTTGAATATCAGTAGATAATTGAGAAGCGGATCTTTTGGTATCAAACATTTATATCTATCTTGTTAGGTTGTTGACCCACGGTTGGTCAAAGTAAGGCCATGGATTCAACGAAGATAATTTCTGGGAAATCGCTCAATCTGATGCAACAACAGTGTTAGACGAAGCCATACATCCCTAAAATAGTTTTGTAGGCAACACAACAGTTGAATTACTAAATTACATTGACCGATGGTCATGTATAGAGGTCAAACGAAGGTCAAGAACCTGTTTTTACTCCAGAGCTTGCCGTATGAAGTAGTTTCTGCTGTTCATTCTAACTTGATTGATCACATGAACCGCATCATGCATGTTCTATGAACTTCTTAAAGGTGAGAATAAGTCACTGTCCTGAAACGACCCAGGTCACCATTTTGTTAAAAATATGCCGCCTAGGATAAGTCCTTGACGCTTATTTAAATAAAAAGACCAAAGCAGTCTCGTATGATTTAGGCCCCCATGACCTTCCAGGGGTCAAACAAGGTCACCAACCTTAAATGAGCATGTGACCCTTTGCTCAGTACAGGAAGCTAGCTTTACGGGGCTTGCATGAAAGGGCTCTGGGGCACTTTAGGCACCAACCTGGAGTTTGACTTTACTTGACCTTTTTGGACCCGACAGCCATGACCCAAGAGGCTCAAGTTTTGACACGAGTGAGTTCACGTACGGACAAACGACATCCTGCGAATTTGGTGTCCCCATCTGTCTTGTTTCTGAGATCTCAGGGAAACGTAAAAAAAGATGAGGTCAGATCAACCCCCGCACCCCAGCGAACGGTATTTAACTGACCACCCGGTCGCGTCTTAACGATTTACCAAATCAAGAACGAACGCGATCCAGATGTTCGCCAATGACTACAAAAATCTCCGTTCGCGATGTTCGTGAATGACTACAAACTTTTACTGTCGCGTTCCCAGGCCCCTGAATGCGAACCCTCTTCAGACCGGCCTTAATGCCCTGGTTAAGTGGTTGGAGGGACGAGCGCCCGCCTTCAATAAAGTGTTCAGTAACACACATCGGCACTGGCGGCTCACGACTGACCCCCTTCCTGGCGGGGCCAACATCGCGGTCGAGCACACCGAGGAACACCGTTCAGCAGCAGGGTCGTACAGCAATGGAGCGCACCTCCACGAACGACGGTACCTTCAGCCCCGGCTGAGCAGATCAGATCAGCCTCAGCCTCGGAGCGCGCTCAGCACTTCGTGTCATGGGAAGCAGCACAGCAACACGCAGCAGGGCGGTGTGTATTCATGTATCACCGTACACCGCCACGAGGCATAATATCCGCGTTGCACCAACGCACGCGCACCCGCAGGCCGCCGGCGTACTGCGCCGAGCGCGGCTTCAGACCTTCACTGCGCACACACTCCACGGCCAGACGAGTGGAGCAGTGGTAAAAACAGCGACACCCGCTCGGTACCATCCGATGGTAGCGCTGAAAGAGACGTTTAGCTTACACGAACACTTGTTGGAAGCCGACGGGGACGCCCCCTCGGGCTCCGTTGTGACGTCAGATGGGGACATTTGGGACGAATGCAAGCGCCCATGTCGGAAGCAGGACCCGCGTGTATTTTAGTCCTCCTCACTCCACATGGCCTTGTCCGTCCCTGTCGGTGGACCGCTCCACATGACCTTGCCTCCGCCGGCGGGTCGCCCCCCCAGCGTAGCCGCACCCCCGCCCCGCACTGAGTCAAATACTGCTTTAGCCCTGATAGCCACTGCGAAACGCCACGTCCGAACTGCGGGGCTGGCCACCGTTACCGCGACCGTTACCGTTACCGTTACCGTTACCGCTACCGTACCGTGGCACCGTTCGCGGCAACGTCAAACGAGCGCGGCGGACCACTCCCCTCCCCCCCGCCCCCCCCCCCAAAAAAAAAACACACGAAGTCAGTGGCCCACCGCCGTTACTGCGGCTGCCGACCGTCGGGGAAGGCCGACGCGGCGCGCTCCCGCCGACCACCGGCGCCCGACAGATCCTCCACCACTACTGGGACAGTCCCGCCAGCCACGACCCGCCACCGGAGGGGAGAGAGGGACAGGCGGCCGCGCGAGAGGGCGGCGCGACCCGGCCGCGGCGGGGCCCGACCGAGCGCAGGTGCGTCCGGCACCCGCGCGGGGACGGCGACAGCCTGTCTGCCGGCGACGCGCCCCCGCCCACGGCAGTCCGTCGGTGAGGAGTCCGCCGAGGGGAGGAGACCATCGTCAGAGTCCAGCCAGAGCCGCAGACACTGGGGCCGCGCCACTGGTCTCGATCGTGCAGCCGCTGACATGACGTCGCTGCCGCGTTACGCGGCCGTCTGCTCTGGCTTGGCCTCGATGGTGGCCTCGACACACTTCCAGAGGCCGTACGTCTTGCCCACGGTGGTCTGCCAGAGCCGAAGCGTGCCGTCTTCGGAGCCGGAGGCGTACAGCTCGCCTGCGGGCGGGCCGGACCGGTCACGGCGGTCGGCAGACGCGGGGGAGCGAGTAGCTGGACACGGGGTCAGCACCTCCCCCGGGAGCAGGGCGGGGCGAGCAGCTGGACACGGGGTCAGCACCTCCCCCGGAGCAGGGCGGGGCGAGCAGCTGGACACGGGGTCAGCACCTCCCCCGGAGCAGGGCGGGGCGAGCAGCCAACACGGGGTCAGCACCTCCCCCGGAGCAGGGCGGGGCGAGCAGCCAACACGGGGCTTGCCCCCCCCCCCCGAACAGGGCGAGAGGTCACGGCACAGACGACTGGGGCGGGTCGACGCAGGGGAGCGCTCACTCGCGGCGAAACATCGCCAGTCCCGGCTGGTCACGGCTGGGCCTCCAGGACGGTACAGCGCAGTTTAACCAGTACGAGCGCGGCCACACGAGCGCCGAAGAAACAGCGGGTTTCGCTTGAGAATGTCACGGGCATGACAGCAAAACACTGATGAGGGAAGCGATCATGCTCCAGAACATTCGGGTGTTAAATGATTGAAATGCAGCGATAATGTTAGCTCACTCGTGTCCTTTGCCGAAACACAGCTCAAACGTTTTTCATCAACAATGGAACATGCTTCAACACAATTCATACCCTTGCTGAACAGCATGTCGGAAGAATGCACCCAATGTTCGCGCGTTTTCCCATCCTGGCCCCACCTTCTGTCCACCAAGGTCCACGACAAAACACCTCAGGTCAATCGAAACACAAATACTCAAAGTCCTACATCTACCGGCGCCGAATGATGGTGCCGCCGACTGACCCGAACTGTGTCCCACCAGACTCCACCGTCCCATCCTGAGCACGCCCCGCCCACACCGTCCCATCCTGAGCACGCCCCGCCCACAGCGTCCCATCCAAGCACGCCCCGCCCACACCGTCCCATCCCGAGCACGCCCCGCCCACACCGTCCCATCCCGAGCACACCCCGCCCACAGCGTCCCTCCCAAGCACGCCCCGCCCACACCGTCCCATCCCGAGCACGCCCCGCCCACAGCGTCCCATCCCGAGCACGCCCCGCCCACACCGTCCCACCCCGAGCACGCCCCGCCCACACCGTCCCATCCCGAGCACGCCCCGCCCACACCGTCCCATCCCGAGCACACCCCGCCC